GCCCTCACTGTACTTTGCTACTGTGCTGTTGGCCCTCACTGTGCTTGTTAGCTCACTGTGCACTGTGGCTGTTGCCCTCACTGTGGCACTGTTGACCTCCTGTGCTTGGCCTCACTGTGGCACTGTGCCCTGCTTTGTGCCTCACTGTGGCACTGTTGACTGTGCTTTGTTGGCCCTCACTGTGGCACTGTCCTGTGCTGTTGGCCCTCACTGTGGCACCTGTTGTTGCCCTCACTGTGGCACTGTTGACCCTCACTGTGGCACTGTTGACCCTCACTGTGGCACTGTTGTCCTCACTGTGCTGTTGACCTCACTGGCTTTCTTATCACTGTGTTGGCACTGTTAGCCCTCCTGGCTGTTGGCCTCACTGTGCTGTGGCCCCTGTGGCACTGTTGGCCCTCACTGTGGCACTGTTGGCCTCACTGTGTGTGACCCTCACTGTGGACTGTGACCTCACTGTATTTGGCCTCACTGTGCCTGTTACTGTGGCACTGTTGGCCCTCACTGTGTGCCCTCACTGTGTTTGTTGGCCCTCACTGTGGCACTGTTGACCTCACTGTGGCACTGTTGGCCTCACTGTGGCACTGTTGGCCCTCACTGTGGCACTGTTGCCTCACTGCTTGGCACTGTTGAGCCTCACTGTGCTGTCAGCCTCACTGTGGCACTGTTGGCCTCACTGTGCTGTTGGCCCTCACTGTGGCACTGTTGGCCTCACTGTGCTGTTGGCCTCACTGTGTGCACTGTTGGCCCTGTGGCACTGTGCAGCCCTCACTGTGGCACTGTTAGCCCTCACTGTGGCTGTTGGCCCTCACTGTGGCACTGTTGGCCCTGTAGCACTGTTGACCCTCACTGTGGCACTGTTGGCCCTCACTGGCACTGTTGTCCTACTGTGGCACTGTGGCCCCTCACTGTGGCACTGTTGACCCTCACTGTGGCACTGTTGACCTCACTGTGCACTGTTGGCCTCACTGTGGCACTGTTCTTCTGTGCACTGTTGCCTCACTGTGGCACTGTTGGCCCTCACTGTGGCACTGTTGACCCTCACTGTGGCACTGTGGCCCCACTGTGGCACTGTTGGCCCTCACTGTGGCACTGTTGGCCTCACTGTGCACTGTGCACTGTTGACCTCACTGTGGCACTGTTGGCCCTCACTGTGTTTAGCCTTCTGTGCCGCACTGTTATTTCACTGTGGCACTGTTGGCCCTCACTGTGGCACTGTTGGCCCTCACTGTGGCACTGTTGACCTCACTGTGGTACTGTTGGCCCTCACTGTGGCACTGTTACTCCTGTGGCACTGTTGGCCCTCACTGTGGCACTGTTGGCCCTCACTGTGGCACTGTTAGCTCCTGTGCCTGTTGACCTCACTGTGCATTGTTGGCCCTCCTGTGGCACTGTTAGCCCTCACTGTGCTGTTGACCCTCACTGTGGCACTGTTGGCCTCCTGTGTCTGTTGGCCCTCACTGTGCTATTGGCCTGTGCTGTTGGCCCTCACTGTGGCACTGTTGGCCCTCACTGTGGCACTGTTGGCCCTCACTGTGCTGTTATTACTGTGGCACTGTTGACCCTCACTGTGGCACTGTTGACCCCTATTGCTGTTGGCCCTCACTGTGGCACTGTTGCCTCACTGTGGCACTGTTGGCCCTCACTGTGGCACTGTTGACCTTCACTGTGCTTTGTTCTACTGTGTGTTGGCCTCACTGTGGCACTGGAGCCTCCTGTGCTTGTGACTCACTGTGCTTGACCTCACTGTGGCTGTTGCCTCACTGTGGCACTGTGGCACTGTTGGCCCTCACTGTGCTGTTAGCCTCACTGTGGCACTGTTGGCCTCACTGTGGCACTGTGGCCTCACTGTTGACCCTCACTGTGGCACTGTTGGCCCTCACTGTGGCACTGTTGGCCCTCACTGTGGCACTGTTGGCCCTCACTGCACTGTTGACCCTCACTGTGGCACTGTTGACCCTCCTGTGGCACTTTTGCCTGCTCACTGTTTGGCCTGTGTGTTGGCCTCACCAAGTCACTACCTGGACTACACTTATTTGAATAGTGTAAGCAGATACCATCCTGCTTGCCTCTCTCCTGTTGTCTCATCTGCTGCATGCCCCTCTCATCCTGCCCTGGCATGCCTCTCTGCCCTTGCCTTTCATCCTGCCCTCATGCCTCTCATCTACCCCTGGCATGCCCCTCTCATCTACCTAGCATGCCTCTCATCCCTCCTAGCATGCCTCTCATCTACCCTGGCATGCCTCTCATCTGTGCCCTCCTATCTCCTCTCATCTGCCCTCTCATGCCTCTCATCTACCCTCGCATGCCCTCTCATCCTCACCTGCATGCCTCTCATCCTGCCCTGGCATGCCTCTCATCTACCCTCGCATGCCTCTCATCTACCCTCGCATGCCTCTCATCTACCCTGGCATGCCTCTCATCTACCCTCGCATGCCTCTCATCCTGCCCTCGCATGCCTCTCATCTACCCTGGCATGCCTCTCATCTACCCTGGCATGCCTCTCATCTACCCTCGCATGCCTCTCATCTACCCTCGCATGCCTCTCACCCTGCCCTGGCATGCCTCTCATCCTGCCCTGGCATTACTCCTTTGACCTTTTTCAATGTTTATATGACCCCTCAAGCACACAGGTTTAATCCCAGGTTAGGTTATTAATACCACGAATAATTAGTCAATTATCCAAGCGATTATCCGAGAGTTTGGGTTAGGTTAGGTTAGGTTAGGTTAGGTTAGGTTAGGTTAGGTTAGGTTAGGTTAGATTAGGTTAGGTTAATACCATGAAAAATTTGTCTCAATTATCCAAACGATCATCGTACAGTTGAGAATAATTATTAAACTTGTGAGAGACGGATAATAATCGTCGTTCAGTCTTGAGATGAATTACTATCAGGATTATTAACCAACCTTCACCTCTTCCTCCCCCTCACCCCCTCTTACAACTTTACTTCACTCTCCTTCTCTCTCCCTCTTCCCCTCACCCTCCCTCTCCCTAAATAGAGATAGATAGATTGATATATAGAGAGAGAGAGAGAGAGAGAGAGAGAGAGAGAGAGAGAGAGTCATATTAAAAAAACAAACATACCCCAACAACGCCCCCCATACAAACACACACACACACCAAACCCCCCAAAACTAGACCCCTTAAATTTCACTTCACGAGAGACGATATCAATGTGAGCCAGCAGCACTTGACCCCGGGGGGATATCGAGTGCTCTCAAACACACCACCACGAGCCGTCATACCCGTCAGCCATCTCCATTGTTGTACCTTGTCTTACCTGCCACCACTCACACTCTCCCGACGTACCTGAGATTGAGAGAGGGGGGAGAGATAGAGAGAGGGGGGGGGAAGATGATTGAGAGAGAGAGAGAGACGGACAGATTGAGAGAGAGAAAGTGTGTGTGTGTATCTGAACTGAATGGCTGATCAAACAACGTCATTTTTTCGAGGACTGAGAAGAGGAATTCGTGGGTAATGGTTCAAGTGACAGCGATAAGACTCCCCGAACTGTATTGAAAAGCTGAGCAAATAATAAGTGTTTTAAGAGGTTTAGCGAGTGAGGAGTGAAGTGTTTGGGATTCACGTATAGGATTCTTGTTTAGAGGATTGGATTCAGCTATAGAGGATTGGATTCAGGTATAGAGGATTGGATTCTATTGAAGAGGATTCGATTCGATCTGATTTGAATAGCTGATCAACTGTTTTGGTTGGAGATTGGAATTTTTTTTTTTAAATTCCACGTTTTAATTTTTACTCCTCTTCCCCAGTATCACCTCTTCTTCCTCACCTCCTCCTCTTCCTCCTTCCCCGACATCTCCTCCCCATCACCTCCTTCTGCTCTCCTCTTCTCCATCACCTCCTCCTCCATCTCCCCTTTCTCCTCCTTACCTCTTCCTCCAGGCCTCTTGACCTCATTCCGTCTCAACTTCCATGACTGAGCGTAAACCACGACAACTGGAGCGACGAGAGAGAGAGAGAGAGAGAGAGAGAGAGAGAGAGAGAGAGAGAGAGAGATTAGTTACAGGCTATAAGCAAATCGATGGTATGATAGTATGTATGTATGTATGTATGTATGTATGTATGTATGTATGTATGTATGTATGTATAGATGACAAGAACTTCAACGCAACAGTAAACAAAATCAAAGGAGAATTTCAACGCCTCGTAAGTAGTAGTTCAAGATATATATTAAGATCACTACTTATTTGGCGTTCAAATTTTCCGTTGCGTGTGTGTGTGTGTGTGTGTGTGTGTGTGTGTGTGTGTGTGTGTGTGTGTGTGTGTGTGTGTGTGTGTGTGTGTGTGATGGTCCTGCTTCCCACCGGAAATTAAGTGCGAGTGTGGGTCACTTGCTTGAAATGTCTCGAAAATCTCCAGAAACGAACTAATTTTCTCCTCAGAGCAAGTCATTAAGAGAGGGAGAGAGGGAGGGGGGGAGGGAGAGAGGGAGGGGAGGGAGGGTCGTATAAAGGAAAGTTGGAAGGATAGAGGGAGGAAGAGAATTAGAAGAGGAAGGAAGAAAGTAGTTTGAGTTTTGAAGGAAGGAAGGGGGGAGGGAAGGAGGGTACATTATATGACCAGTAGAGTGAACACGCGTGCGCTGGAGGGGTGGCCACTATCACCGCTGTGGCCACTATCACCGCTGTGGCCAGGATCACCGCTGTGGCCACTATCACCGCTGTGGCCACTATCACCGCTGTGGCCACTATCACCGCTGTGGCCAGGATCACCGCTGTGGCCAGGATCACCGCTGTGGCCAGGATCACCGCTGTGGCCAGGATCACCGCTGTGGCCAGGATCACCGCTGTGGCCAGGATAAAAGGTGCGCAGGATTCCAGCTAATTGAGGCCATTGTGGTGGGATGGTAGCGGCGGCGGCGGCGGCCAGAGTGTGATGCTGAGGTGGGCGCGGCCAGGGAGCCCCGCCCACTTCACCTGCCCAGGTATAAAGTGGGACATTCGCGCCGCCCCCGCCAGTTCATACCCGACCTTTGACCACATCAGGTCTCTGTGAGTCGTGTGAGACGTCTGCCCTCTCCGTGTTGTGAGTCGTGAGGATTGTGAGGTTTGAGAGAGTGACTTAACACAGTCGTCAAGCCGTGAGCGAGATGGACGGCGCTGGTTGTGTGTACCAGCAGATGGTGCACGCCTTTACCGACGCCTACACCACCGCCCTCTACACCGCCCGCCCGCCCACGCCCGACAGTGATTACGGCTCTCTGAGTCCCGCTTCAACGCCGCCTCCAAGTCCCACTCGACTGTGTCCCTCCACCACGGCGACCTCCACCAACCCCAGCGACGCGTGGGGGCTGTTCACCATGGCCACCACACAGCAGAACACCTCCACCTTCTCCACCTACCAGGACTACGCCCAGCTGTACTCTGTAGCAGGAACACCCGGGCTCTTCACCAAGCAGACTACCCCAACCAAGACCTCCATCAGCCCGCGGACCACCACCACCACCACCTCCCAGCACCCCATCAAGAGCGACACCTACAGAGTAACTAACTACCAGACGGGGAAGAACCTCTCCTCCACCAAGCCATCTGCCTCACCTCTCGTGTCCATAGAAAACAAACGGGAGCAACAGAGACTAGGAGGATCCACTGTGCCCCAGAACACGTGTAGGACCCCTAAGCCCCCACGTGGCAGCAGTCGTTGTGGCGTCCGGAAGCAGCGAACGGGACGGGAAGTGACTGACGGCGTGAGGAAGAAGAGGAGACTCGCAGCCAACGCCAGGGAGCGACGCAGGATGGATAATCTCAACAAGGCTTTCGATCGTCTGCGGTCAGTTCTGCCGCAGCTGTGTGATGACCGCAAGTTGTCCAAGTATGACACTTTACAGATGGCTCAGACATACATCACTACGCTGGCAGACTTATTAATATAGTCTCTACCCCGCGCTCGCACTGGGATTGACAACGTAGCCTCTATGTAGCCTGACAAAGACTACGTAGCCTGTGGCGTGGCAAAAGACTATCTACGTAGCCTGTGTATGTGGCCTGTCAGGCCCCACCATAGCCTGTGGCAGCCTTACCAAAAGACTACCCACGTAGCCTGTGTCGCCAGCCTGTTCAAAGACTACCACGACGTAGCCTGTGTCCGTGGCCCTACCCAAGGATACTGCAGTTATTTTCCTTTAGCCAGTCTACCACCTACCGGGACTCCCATAGGATATTTGTAGTCTCTGGGATGTCCTGAAGAAACTCGCAGCTGAGGAACCTACTGGGGGAGAGAGAGAGAGTCTCATCTTGTGCGTCACGGCTTTTTGGTGAAACGGATTGGTGATTGTTGTGTAGTGTAAGGCGTGTGTGTGATTCTTTAGGAGACAAAAACTGGTGATTCTCTAGGGACAAGACTTTTCTATAAAGGCATTAACCTGGTGATTCTCAAGACGGACGGTACCAGGACGGAAGGTGTTTGGTGAGACAGGCGCCTAGGGAGGAATACCTGGTGACTGCTCAAGAGTTTACTCCGCCACGCGCCAAAAACTCCCGAAGCGCGTGTCGGAACCATAAATAAGGGGTCGTGCACCACGGATGGAGCAGCAACCACCACTGTACGACTCTACAGTATGTCGCGACCACCTGTTACGTCGCTGACCTCCCCAAAAAATACGTCATGCGATTCTCCTATGTGTACTTTGATCTCTGCGTCTCGGTTGTGTCAGTACGACTCTCCGATGACCACCAGTCACGCTTACTACAAAGAAACACTCGTCAACTTCATACCGAGTGGACACGAGGACAGAGTGCGGGTGTGTCCAGAAAACAAACAAATTAAATAAACTTGCCCACAAAATTACCTTCTCGGACCCACCAACCAAATGAACTTAGAAATATAACAAAATTCCCCTACAATTTACGTTGTAGCGCCTACAGCACTATAAACTTGACATTATACTTAAATTATACAAAATGAGGATAATATTTCTGTATAAACATCTATGTTGTGAATATTTCTTCCTAAGATGTTGTGAATGTGTTTGTGAGGAGTTGTTTTATACATCTGGTCTTGTACAAATACTTTCATTTTGTATATAAATAAATATTGTTTCATGCCAATATGTCCCTAAAGTTTATTCTGATTGCGATTTATTATATTTTTGTCTCTCACTGTTCAATAATGTTTAAGTTTTCCCAGTTTCTTTTTCAGTTCAATATTTTCATTATTATGTTTTTATATTTGTTTTTAATTTATTTCGATAAGTTCAATAATATAAGTTTTTATTTGATTTTGTCAATCTATTTCAATCAGTTCAGTATTGTTACATTTATTTCAATTTACTTAATCATTTCAATAATGTTCAATTCCTATGTAATTTCCATCAATTTCTTTCATCTGTGGTTGAAAGAGGTGCCAATCAACTCCCTCCCCTCTTCTCTCTCTCTCCCACCTCCCCTCCCTCCATCCATCCTCCCCTCCTCACCCCATCCATCCTCCTCCTCTCCCCATCCACCTCCCTCCCTCCCTCCCCATCATCCCCTCCCCTCACCCCTCCACCTCCTCCTCACTCCATCCACCCTCCCCTCCCCCACCGATGTCTAGTGTCTGTTTGTTTGTTAATACCATTTTTGTGTCGTGGTTGATTGTATGTCGTGGTTGATTGTATCGTGGTTGATTGTATGGTTGTTGTGTCGTGGTTGATTGTGTCGTGGTTGATTGTGTCGTGGTTGATTGTATCGTGGTTGATTGTGTCGTGGTTGATTGTGTCGTGTTGATTGGGTTGTTTAAGAGACACGAGGATGAGGAGACAGTATTACTTGTTTATGTAAAAAGAAACAAATAAAAATGTGTTCAGTCATTATATGTCTTTGTTTAAGTAAATAAAATATAATGATGGGATAATTACCTTTTAATTACCTTTTATGTCTTACCTGTAATTATTGACCCATACAAATTACCTTATGTCTTACCTGTAAATTATTAATCTATATAAATATGTTTTTAAATTGATCTATAGAATGATGGGAAAATATGTTTTAAATACAGGTACAGTAATGCCCAGGTGGTGACTGTATCGTAAAGTACAGGTACAGTCATACCCAGGTGGTGACTGTATCGTACAGAAGTACGGTACAGTAATGCCCAGTGACTGTACGTAAAGCACAGGTATGAAGTACAGGCACGCCAGGTGGTGACTGTATCGGCGGTATGAAGCAGTGTAATGCCTGGGCGCTGTATCGTAAGTACAGAAGTACAGGCACAGTAATGCCCAGGTGGTGACTGTATCAAAGCACAGGTATGAAGTACATAATGCCCAGGTGGTGACTGTATCGTAAAGTACAGGTATGAAGCAGGCCCAGGTGGGACTGTATAAAGTAAGGATGAAGCACAGGCACAGCCATGCCCAGGTGGTGACTGTATGCAGTACTGGTATGAAGTACAGGTACAGTAATGCCCAGGTGGTGACTATCGTAAAGTACAGGTATGAAGCACAGGTATGAAGTGCAGGTTGTAATGCCAGGTGGTGACTGTATGGTACAGGGTAATGCGTGTGGGTGAGTGCCAGTCTGCCCAGGTGGCTGTATCGAAGAAGGTGTTGTGTGGTGATGTATGTAAAAGTACAGGTACAGTCATGCCCAGGTGACGAGACAACTCATTACAGATTACCAAGTAAGATATAATACCCAATTAACAAGGATTCCAATATTAATAAGATTGGAAGGATTCTCATATTAGCCAATTGTACGAAGCGTTTTGGATTACAAGATTAACATGGGGAAAAATCACTTGAAAACTAATTTGCATATGAGGTCTCTCTCTCCCCATATGCACTAACCCCCCCCACACACCCACGTACACACACATTATCCCACCCTACACACGCCCACTAATACCACCCCCACCCACTCCACCCCCGCCCCCCCCACAAGGTGACGGGTCGAGTCATGGTCATTAACAGCCGCCATTACTCCTCTCCCTATTATCATAGTGTTCGTAATTGTCGCCTTTCTCTGTCTCTACCACAAGCGGGGTTCGGGTCTGCCTCGGCTTGAAGAGAGAGAGAGAGAGAGAGAGATCCAATGTGTGTGTGTGTGTGTGTGTGTGTGTGTGTGTGTGTGTGGTAGAAATAATGGACTCTAATAGGTAAGCTTAGCACGTGTAGGCTAGATGGGTTTTGTAAATTGGGAGGTTAATTGTTTTACCTGCATAAATATACACACACCTGCATCTGTGTGTTTGTTTGATTGTTAGTTGTGGGTGTTTGTGTGTGTGTGTGTGTGTGTGTGTGTTTCGTAGTAAGTATATACAGTAGGAATGCATAAACTCAAACACACACACACACACAACTCTAGGCCACACACAGCCACACACACACACACACACACACACACACACACACACACACACACACACACACACACACACACACAACTATCGCCGGCAGCCACCACAAGTTTTTTACCTTTGGTCTTTGTTGTATAAAGGTGACTATTGGTCCGCCTGACCTTCTGGCTTCAAATTATCGCTCACAATCACTGCTCACACACACACACACACACACGCACGCACAGGCAGCGAGTAATTACGGTCGTGTGCACAGGGAGTAAGAACATGGAGTAAGAAATCACGGACGCACACACGGACATAAGAACATGCAGCAAGGAATTATGAATGGCTACAAGGACTACCACGGACAGTAAACATCACGGACGCTTGTTTGACGCACCATACATGGAAGTAATTAACGTACCGTCAGCCTATTCCAGCCTACGTCAGTCTGTCATTAGCTTACTGTCAGCATGTCGTTAGCCTATCGTCAGCCTACCGTCAGCCTTGTCGTCAGTACAGTTCATAGTTATGCTCATTTAGGGATACAGTGTTCCTGGTTATGGCTCATTCAGGCCCCAGAATAACAACGCCCATTCAAGGCTCCCAGAAAGATAACAGACAACGCTCATTCAAGGGCGCCTCAGAATGACAACGCTCATTTAAGGGCCCCAGAAAGACAAAAGAGAACGCTCATCAAGGGCTTCTCAGAATGACTATGCTCATTCAAGGCTCCCAGAAAGACAAAAGAGAACGCTTATTCAGGGGCTTCTCGAGAATGAATGCTCATCAAGGGCCTCAGAAAGATAAAAGAGAACGCTCATTCAAGGGCGTCTCAGAATGACTACGCTCATTCAAGGGCTTCTCAGAATGACAACGCTCATTAGCCCCCAGAATGACAACGCTCATTCAAGGGGCGTCTCAGGATGACTATCTTTCAGGCTCCCAGAATGACAACGCTCATTGGTGGCCCCCAGAATGACAACGCTCATTCAAGGGCTCCCCAGAATGACAACGCTCATTCTAGGGCGTCTCAGAATGACAATGCTCATCTGAGGGCTCCGAATGACAACGCTCACTTCAAGGCCCCAGGAATGACAACGCTCATCTGGCGGCGCCCAGAATGACAACGTTCATTCACAGCCCCCAGAATGACAACGCTCATTCAAGGGCTCTAGAATGACAACGCTCATTCAAGGGCGTCTCAGAATGACAACGCTCATTCAAGGGCGTCTCAGAATGACAATGCTCGTTCAAGGGCTCCCCAGAATGACAATGCTCGGTCAAGTGCCCCAGAAGATAAAAACAACAATAAGAGACCCACCAATCACAACAGAGACAAGGGATTACGAGGGATTTGGTTGTTATCAGCTGACCAATCTCTGCAGCTTGTGACACGTCATTCCCAGAGCGTTAATACAACTTTCTGATCAAATAAACATTATTGGTTTAATTTATCTTATATGTTGGTGAAGATACTTGATCACGAGTATATAAACACACAGGTATATAAACACAGGTATATAAACACACAGGTATATAAAATATATAAACACAGGTAAAACACAGGTATATAAACACACAGGTATATAAACACAGGTATATAAACATGTATATAAACACAGGTATATAAAACACAGGTAAACACAGGTATATAAACACAGGTATATAAACACACAGGATATAAATACAAGGTATATAAACACACAGGTATATAAACACAGGTATA